TAAAATTTAATTTATAAAAATAATATTTTAAATAAGGGGTTATAATAACATCAGTGTAACTTTTACTAAGTATTACACCATTCAATAGCTTTATATTAAAAATGAATTTGTAAATCTAACTATTAGATTGAAAGTTCATATTACTTTATACGTGTATATCAAATTATAACTCCCTTTATTTATATATATATATATGAGGGGTTATAATTATATCGGTGTAACTTTTACTAAGTATTATACTATTTAATAACTTTTATATTAAATATGAATTTTATTAATTCAATCATTAGATTGAAAGTTCATATCACTTTATATGTTTATATCAAATTTTGTTAAAATTAAATAACAACTTGAAGGTAATCAAAGTGTTCATATTTTAGTATATTTTGAAATATATATGTTATGTCAATTTAGTTTTATAAGAATGAAGTATCAAATCATCTAGAATTAATATAAAATTATATATATATATATATATATATATGATCTAAAAGTAAAGAACTTTCAATCTAATGAATGGATTTACAAATATATATATATATATATATATATATATATGAGTTATGTTATTAATTGTTAATTAATTAATATTTTAACAGAGTTTACTTTATCTTTTTTAATCCATGATATTTCTTATTTTAATAATCTTGAAATATTTTAATCTTTTAAAATATATTCTCTCATATATACACTAATTTGGATGTTGAATTCCTAACCATATATATGACTAGGAGCATCTGTAATGGGGGTTGCTTATAAGCAACTCCCTGTGCCATATCACTGCCACATCAGCTCTGGTTCACTTTATGAGTTGCTTAAATTTTAACAAAGTTGCTTGTAGAAGCAACTTTGTTAAAATTTAAGCAACTCATAAAGTACAAGCAACTTTGTTAAAATTTAAGCAACTCATAAAGTGGGGCAGAGCTAATGTAGCAGTGATGTGACACAGAAGATTGCTTATAAACAACCCCATTGAAGATGCTCTAAGGTACTTTGATAAATTAGATATATAAGTAAAATTAAAAGAAAATATTAATATTGCATTTAATGCTATTAATATACTACATTCATTTATTTTTATTTGACTTTAAGGTTTGTTTGCCCGAACTTAGAAAAAATGTAATAATTTTTTTTCGATCTTATTAAAAAAGTTTTGAAGTTTTTAATTATATTATTATTTTTATTTATATCAACACTTATATATTAAATATTAATTTCTATCTTACGAGAATATATTTTTGGAGATTTTTTATCAATAAGAATTTGTAGAAATTTTTTTATAACTTCTTATCTATCTTAATTTTTATTTATTATAATTATTTATAAATTAAAAATTAATATTTTAAAATAAATTATCAATAAATAAAAATAATTTTTTTACAGTACAAATCATTTATCATAAATTTTAAATATAATTTATATTTTAAAAATATTTATGTATAATAATTTCAAATATAATTTATATATCTAAATATAATATTTATTTATATATGATTTATTATAAACTTTAATTATATAATAAATATGCATTAGGTTAAAATGCTAATTTTATAATAAATTCATTTTTTATTCATTTTCATATGATATTCCCTCCATTGTATAATAAGTGTTATTCTATTATTTTTTCATAAATTAATAAAATTTAATAAACAAATGAAACTAAATTGTAATATTACAAAATTAGTTTTGTTATTAGTCATTTTTAATGAAAACAATGCAACATGACAATGTTCTAAGAAATTACTCCCTCCGTCCTACAAGGATTATAACTAGAGATGAAAATTTGTCAAATTTTAAAGAAGAACTTTTGACTTGACCTATTTAAAGTTTGATACAACTTGACCTATTTAATAAGAGGTTTAAGTTTAGATTTATAAAAAATTTAATTTTAAAAGATTAGATTTAAACTTCTAAAAAATGTTTGTTAGATTTAAAAAATCATTCTATTTATATACATAATATGATAAAACATAATATACATAATACCTTATTAACAGTATAATCAAATAAATAAAATTGTAATGCTAAAAACTAAATTATCAATATTTTTGGCATTCTAACTACACTTAAATGTTTTACATTCTTTATTCATACAAAATCAAGAACTAGAAAATAGAAAATCTAGCAGTTATATATTTGTTTACTCCTTTTTATTTATTTATTATATTCACAATTAGTTACTTAGAATATCTGAAATGAGACATAGAAAACATTTAGAATTTGTTTTTTATAAGATTTTTTTTTTTATCACATATGTGCATGTTAGCCTAAGCTTGAAGCTTTTAAGACCCTTTACTTTGGGCTCCACTTAAAAAACTTAAGGTCCCATAATTTATATATTAACATTTTAATTAAAAAATTATTTATTAATTTAAGTTAATAAACATATTTTACTTCTGATAGGTCTAGTGATAGACACTATGTCATTATTTCTTTTTTAAAGACATTAATTGTCATTTAAGTTTCTATTATTTAAATATGTTAACATGTTAATCACTTTTGTAAACAATCTAACAATCTTTTTTATTTAAAATATTAATTTTGATTAAAAATTAGCTAAAACCTTTTCTATTTCCTAACTATTATCTCTTTTTTTTTTAGAGATCTCATAACATTCCCACATATGTAACATCACATATTCACAATCCTCAAAACACTCATTATAGTCTCATCTTTTCTCTTTCATAATTGACACCTTCATAATTCAATTATTTTGTTATCAATTGTCTGAGTTTGTATTAGTTCATCTAAAAAAGTAGAAATTATTCAGCCTAAGGTTATATATATATATATTCTTTCCTTCTTATTTTTTACTGCCGTCTTTCACTATTTTTTATTTTTTTTATTTATATTTTTTAGGTGTTTGATTGTTTGCAACACTCACTGTTATTAAAATGAGATTTTTTTTCTTCTTATTTTACAGTGCTTGAAAGTTGAAACACCTAACTGCAATAGTGTAGTATTGTTCTTAACACCTACTCGACTATTCCAACTATTAAATTTGGTAAATTTTTCTTCTATCAATTTTTTATTTTTTATTTTTAACATTATATTTATACAAATTTTTATTGATTTTTTTTCCATTTTAATTATACTTATTGCTATGATTCTATGCATTTTAATTGTTCTTACCTTCTCGGATATATTTTACGTGAAATTGGAAGTTAGTAAAATTAGTACAAGGGGATGGAGGGTTATAAAATGTGACAGGGTTGGTTTATCCTTTGCCAATTGTGTTATATACTTTTAAATTTATTATCACAAATTTTAAAATAAAAAAAAAATTTGTAATCATGTTGTATTGTTGTTTGAAACTATTTCGCAAGACTGTTTTCATATTGATAAATTATTTTTAGTTTCTTTCATATATTTTGTGACTTATAAAAGTTTGCTTATAAAATTGTCGATGTTATTTATTTTTTTAATATTCAATATTATAACTACTTTTAATCAATTATTTTATGTTAAACAAATAAATTTATATATATATATATATATT